AGCTCCTCTGCCAGCTCCCTCAGCACCCTCGGGTGGATCCCATCCGGCCCCATAGACTTGTGAGCATCCAGATGGCGTAGCAGACCTTGAGTTGGATAATTTGTTCAAAGGTAAAAACAGACCAAGAGATGGAGCTCATGAAGACTCTTTCCACACTTATGTTGCCAGGTGAGTGGCTTTAGCCTTTTGAATGAATCTGAAACATCTGAGGCTTTCAGACTGCATTAAATTCCAGGAGCTAGAGTCAAGGTCTGACTGCAGCAAGAACTGTAGCCAGCCACGAGTCCCACAGAAACATGTTCAGCCTTCTTAGTTACAAACTGAAATGTCACTTGAGGTATTTCTGTCAACCATCTTTTGGTTGATTGGAGGAACACGTAAGGGAGCAACACAGGTGGACTAGATGATAGTTGAAGAGGTGGACTAGATGATAGCAGTCCCAGTCTGCTATTCCAGTCAAGCAGAGTTTCTTCTTCTCCATAGAGAGGAAGGTCTCTTTTTTATTGAGACTTTTCTATAACAGATGTGACTAAATGGAACAAATTCCTTTTCTGGGCTGGCGGACTTTGTAAAAATGAAACACAATATACACTTGGTACAAGCACTCTGTAGAAGAGGAATAAGCTGTGGCAGAAAAGAAAAAAATATATTCTACTCTTCTATCCTTGCCCTTCCTTATTATTTAATCAGAACACTTTTTTAAAAAATCTTTGATGGTTTAACATTCTATGCAAACTCATCACATGACAATTACTAACTTTTTGCTTGGATTTTTATCAGCAGTTTATGAAGAAAGCTCATTTTTAAAGTATATAGATGTGCTTATCAAAATATTTCAGATTATTCCTTTTTTAAAAGGTTTTACACAGTTCCCTTCCAATGTTTCCTTCTCAGAATGCCCAAAACATGGAAATACACATACTACCTCCATTGAATTACACATCCTTTCCCAAAGTCATAATAGCCTTCCTCATACCCTCTTCAAACAGATTCTATTATTGTTGTTTAAAGCATACTGTATGTAGAGGCAGAACTGAGTTCCCTTGAAATCGATATTCCCCTCCCCCCCACCCCCCTATAAACAGTAGATGCAGGGGAACTGCTCTGAATGACACAAGATATTCCCTGAACAGCTGACTAAAAATTAAATTGAACACAACCCAAGTCTTTCAAAGATTTGAAATAGTTTAACCAGCTTTTTATCTTCCATGTTTCATCATTTCCCGTTCCAGCCTCTGTCAAAATAAGCAAGTATCAAAAGCTGCAACTACCAAAAAGGTAGCTCCAGAACTTATTTTTATGAGATTTTAACTTCAGATTTAGTCTATGTTTGGACAGATATCAAGTAATTACTAAAATGCTTTACTGGTCTTGGATTAAATTGTGATTTACATGTGGTGATCAGAAAAACCATAGTGAGCTTTGTGGAGATTAGAAGAAAAGGTCATGTAATGAAAAAAGTTAACTGTGTAGCTACAGCATAGAGGCATCAGTCTCAGAATATTTGATGTTATCAGCATCTTTGTAATATCGTTCTGTCATATTTTGTCAGTATGTACTATGCAACTCATACCTGTTAGTAAAATGTTGTATATAATGCTGTTTCACTCTGCACCCCAAAGAGCCAATATGGCATGAAAAGTTACCCTTTTTTCCTTCTCAGAACAAAACAAATGGCATGAGATGAAAATAAAACTCACCTGAATGAAATGGCTTTTGCAGCTAACAAGGAGAGATGAGCTCTACTGCTTTCATCAGTATTGCACAAATGAACAAAAAGGCCTTGCTTTTATCTTTTTGAGTAATGCCATACAAGTCAGTTTAAGTGGTTCATTCACATACATTACCAGAAAGAAGATAAGATTGCTCTGTCTACTTAAAGACCATGTGCAGGGTTGCAAAACTATTCTAGTGTACAGACATGCAATCTTGTAAAGCGCAATTACAGCTGGCATTTAACCTGCAGTACTTAAACTGTATTTAACGTACAGAGCTGGACGGAACTTACTTAATTAAACATATTCTGTTAAACAGATGTGCTGCTGAGTACAGAAATTACTTGTATAATTAAATCCTATAATGGAATCGTATTTTTCTTCTCTGAATCATTTTAAAGCTATTCTTAGACAGACTTCCATTGTGATCTAGCTGCAAATCTGCCTTATTAAAATTATTTCAAATGAATAAGCACATTTGATATTTTATGTGGTCCTGACTACCTCAGCCTCTATGCTTTTATTACCCTCATAAATTAAATTTGTAATATTTCTACAGTGTTAACTGAAGCATTTTTGAAACGAGTAACAGAAAACAGAGAAAAAACCAAAACAATAACTTCTTTTCATCTGTCTGCATCTCTGAACAATTTTAAGAGTTTTCATTTCAATATTGTGGAAACAATAAAGTCACTACTGTCAGACAAATCAGCTTGACAAAATAATTATGCCATACCCATGCTAACATATGCATGTTCTTGTCACTTGCTATATTTTCATTTTATATCATGGAATCAAACATGCAAACACAATATTTAGTTTACCAAACAGGCTTCTGACCTCTTACTCTCCCTTAATGCTTTGTCTCCTTTCTTCCAAGTGATAGTTGGCTTTGGAGAGGCTTGTGGCTTGCACTCAATGACAACTTCTTGGCCCTTGGTAATAATTATTGTTTTCCTCATTTGATTTAGTGGGAAAGTGGGAGCTGAAGCTGTTAAAAAGAAGTACGTTAACTCTACAGAGAACAATCACAGCTTCCCATTTCATTACATCCTAATAGAAGAATTTAGTTTTGGGGATAGAATTTCCATTTTTGATTTGGAAATTATTGTACGGCAGATTAGATGGAATTTTAGAAAATGTTTGAAATCAACAACCAACTAGATGGCAGTCTATAACTTAATCCAGTTATGAATTAGTGAGGTGTCCTTCACATCAACATACTAAAGTAAGATTGCTTGTGAAATCCAACAGCTTTAGAAATTAAATACTACTGTTGATTTAGCTAATTTAGCTTTTCTAATTTATTTTTATTTTATAGGTAAATTGTTAGAAGTAATTAGTTCAAAATGAAAAGTTTAAATTCCACAACTATCTAAAGTGCACTCTCTAGAGTTACTTTTTAGAAAAAATATTATTGTCAGAGAAATTTTATTACTATCGCTTTTTATATTTGCCTAAATCCTGGGAACTGAAAAGTGGGAATTTCTTAATAGAAGATATTTAACCATGTCTTGTTCTTAGTATTTCACTTTTCAAGAAGTCCCATTCATTACAATACATCAGTTAAGGTAATAAATGTATCACAAAATGCCACCAATTACTGTAATTTCACAACAAGAAAGGACAGTTGTTCTCACAGAATCTCATTTGTTTGTACTTTTATTAAACTAGTTTTGCAAAAACAAAGCCCCCTCTGCAACTATCTCAGCTACACATATAGGAACATATTACACTCCATTGCCTCAAATATGTAGGAATTTCCTACCATTATTTTTGGCAATTTTCATACCAGAGCTATTTATATGGACAATTTATTCTGTTCTTTTCCCTGTATTAATCCAGAAAATTAAACACAACTGCTTCTTTAATGCAACATTATGGTTCAAATTTAAGAGGGGTACAATTTCACAAGTGACAAATTGAAAGGCTGATTTTACTGCAGCAACATATAACGGCCATTTCTGATATTAGAGAACTATCAAAGAAAGTATACAACTACCTGATATAATAGGCATACCTATTTTATAATAGATATAAAAAACAGAGCAAGATAACATTGTAACCAACAGGGATCTCTTTGCTGACTGAATCACAAATGACAAAGGAAAGTGATGGCAAAAAAGCAACCACTGACTGTGGGTTTTAATTTATGGCTAGACAGAAATATTTTGAAGAGTTATTGGTGAAATTCTAATCTTGGCCAGCTAGGAAATAGTGGAAATGTACTAGATAGGTTATTCTTCAGAGGAACCAAATCTTTTCTCAAATGTAGTATATTATTTCAGTAACTTGAGCTTTGTTATTAATTTGACTGGGAGTTTACAAGAATGATTCCCAGCTGCAGGTTTTGAAATTTGCAAGGTTTGAGCAGTGCAGAGACTTCTAATCTCTGATATGGCCATTGAATTACTTTGGCAGACACCTGTTTTCTAGCTATACCATACTCTAGTAAAGATCATGAGACTCTTACAAGTCTGTCTCACTTAACCTCGTGGAAGTCCTCTTATCACTGTTGTCTCATTGTGTGTTACCACAGTTTGCTTTAAGGAAAACTAGAGTGCTGGAAAGACATGCTTCAAGTTTTTCTTCATTATTGCAGCCTATCAGTACTTAAAGGGGACTTCTAAAAAAGATGGCAGCAAACTTTTTAACAGGGCCTGTTGTGACAGGACAAGGGGGAATGGCTTTAAACTAAAGGGGGGTAGATTTAGACTAGATAGAAGGAAGACATTTTTTGTGCTGAGGGTGGTGAAACACTGGCCCAGGTTGCCCAGTGAGGTGGTGGATGCCCCATCCCTGGAAACATTCCAGGTCAGGTTGGATGGGGCTCTGAGCAACCTGATCTAGTTGAAGATGTCCCTGCCCACGGCAGGGGGGGTGGACTAGGTGACCTTTAAAGGTCCCTTCCAACCCAAACTATTCTATGATTCTATGAACTCCCCACTCCAACTTTTGAATAATGAAATTTTTATTATATTTCTGGGTAATACTATGTAGTGTGTTTGCTTTACTATGGCATGATATTAGCTCAAGTATGTAATTTCCAGTATTCAGTCAGTTCTGGTGACTTCATAGAAAATTTTTACACCTTTAAAACGAATATCATGCTTAATTACCTTTGAATAATGGCCTTGGGAGAAATAATAATTTAATTTTAACAGAGACTAAAATATATTTACTTTCTCTAAGTTTCTTCAACTGCACTTATTTTTAAAGGAGTGAAAAATATTTTTCCATGTATTTGAACTGAAATAGCCTTATATGAGAAAGTAACGAAATGTAACGGAGTCAGTAACTTACGAAGGAAAATTTTCAGTTAACAGAATGACCTGTGCTCTATTGGGCAACAAAGGACCCACTCACACATAAATAACAAGAAGAAAAAGGAATCCACTTTTATCTGCTCTGCTAAGTTTGGACTGGCAGAAGCTGTTCTTTATCATAACAGACCAAGAACAAATGTAATTATCAAAGGCAAAAAAAAGAACAGTCTGTTCTTTTTTGATAATACCCACCTAAAATCTTCAGCTCGGCACTGGCATAAAGGGTGCCATACTTATTTTCTGCTAAGCACTGATACATTCCAGCATCTGAGAGATTCACACTGTGGATCATCAGGACACCATTAACCATCTCAATCCTGCTCTGTAATGGAATAAAAAAAAAAATAATTCTATAAAAGCAAACAGGCACTGGAAATTTGCTGTGCTATTAGCTTAAGGCAAAGGGACAAAAGACATTATTAAGCTAAAATAAAATTGAGCAAAAATTTTCCTTGGTCTGACTTTTTTCTTGTTTATATAAGGAATGACAAGAACAAAGCAGATGGCAGAGGGCAGAAAAAACTCCAAAAATATTGGTAAGTTTGGTATTTAATTACCAATATCGGTAATTAAAGGTAAATATTTTTCAGTGTAAGTTCACTATCTCCAAGGCTTGCTTTTGCCTTTTTGCTTGTTTGTCTGCTATTACCCTTACAATTTTTAAAAGCAGCTCATCCTGGGAACTCTAATGAGGCAAGAAGTCAGCTGCGGGTGTAACATATCTGATGATCTTCACATCTCTAGCAAATGTTTGGTTTCAGTCATGGTACTATTTTCATAAAAGTAGATATAAAAGATTGCTTGCATGAGTAATAGTGAAAGGGTCTAATCGCCTTCATCATTAGTCCAAATTTCTTATTCGAAAGGTCCACTAGTAGAAAATAATTACCATAGCTGGAGGAGACGGGGCATTAATAGCTGTTTATGGAAATATGTACTTCATGGTGCTGCAAAATGAATAATTTGAACTGCTATAAAACATCTCTAAGTTTCATTATTACAGTTGTAGGTTTAATTAAAAATTGATAAAGAACAGAGTGTTTGGGAATGCAAAGGAAACTGTGAAAAAAGTTCTTTCTGTTGTAAGCCCCCTGTTTAAACTGAAATTTAATTTGAAATTTCAGAGCCTGGTGCAACTACTGGCTTGGAAAATCAGAAAACCAGAAAGTACAGCTATTTAAATTGCTTCAATTTCAGGACTAATAGCTCCATCTAAAAAGGCAGAAATGGATAAAGTAAAGGCATATAAACTTATTTTCAATGCCTCACAACTTCAAAAGTAAACTGTGTTTATGTTTCCTTTCTCTGTTTGCATAATTGGATGATGTTCACAGATAGAAGCAACATTCACTGAAAAGAAAGACATTGCATCTTTTATATTCATAAATCCATTCTGTGAATTCATTTACAACTGGAGACATTTTCTCCCAGAATTGAACAGCTTTATTTTAATCTGGAAAAAAGTATGAAATAAATTTACAAAACTTTACTTTAAATTATTTGAGTCTATAGAAATGGAAAGGTGCTAGGCAAAACCCACATGATGTGGGCTGATATGTTGATGATTCAGTGAGAGAAACAGAACAAAGTAAAATAAAAAGCAGGCCATGCCATGAGTGGTCTTTTAAGAGGAGGAGAATTTTATCTAGATCTAATTCTAAAATACATCAGGTGACTTAGTTAAGTACTTTACATTCTAAGAGTCTTACATGGAGCATTTTAATGGTCTTGATGGTGAGTTCTGTTACTTGCAGAGAATTATAGGAGTTGAAAATTGATGAAGATATAATAGTCATTGTGCCTTGTACATTAGCCTGCTAGTGCTTTGAAGAATAAGATTATGTACAAACAAAATGTGGTAAAAACATAACAAAACATTAGGGGAAATATGAAGGAATCTGATTCAGCGAATACGGCACTTCTCTGAGTTGTTACTATCTTTTTATACAGAAAAAAACCCAGATACAAATACCGTAATACCACTACCTAAAAGAATGCAAAAATTAAACATACTGGAGATTGCTTAGATGTGTACTATAATACAATGGCAAATGCTGTTGGTCCCATCTCCCAAATATTTCTGAACTACAGAGAATTACTGGTGAATGCAATTTTACATTGCTTGAGATGGTTCAGAGGGGACATGCATAGAAAACCTGTCTATATACTAACACTTAAGAAACTAACACAGAAAACAATAATTTCTGAAGTATTTTTCAGTATTTTCTTTAACTGGTTTTATCTGAATGAAAGGAGAAACATGCAACATACTGGTGACTCCTCGTCTAATGTACCTGTGGCCAGAGAGGAACTCCATTTTTCAGCCAATGATATGTGGGCCTTGGCTTTCCAGTGGCTTTACATTCCCATCGGAGCTGATCTCCACTGTCTAATTGAGTATCATTAAGTTTCTCCACCCAATGTGGGTAGGCTGCAAGAAAAAAATACCATGCTATATACAAAGCATACAAACTGGTAAGTCTCTAGCTGATATGCAAAGATCTGATCAATTAAAGAGCTTAAATTATGGCCTTTACAAAGCTTAACTTACTCTAGAAAGAAGCACATTTAAACAAATAACCAAAACCAAAAGAGAAAGTAATAAAATTAACAAAACTCCATAACTTTAAAGGAAATGCTGTAATGGCACCAGGCAGCGAGCAGTATCATGACCAGGAATAGAAATCTGCCTGACTGAATAAAGTCCAATGGATTAAATTATAGCACTACATACTAATGCATTTGTTATTACTGAATTAATTTAAGAGCATTTGCTTGGTAGTCACAATAGAATATTTAGTAACTTTTCAAGACCTAAGCTATCTAAATTTTGGTTAGGAGGTCAATCATCAGAGACTCTGTTTCATGTAGTTTTCTCAGCTTACTAGGAAATCATGATTTATTCAGCTAGGAATGACTGGGCATTTGGTAAGGTACTTGCACATATTTTTGTTAAAGTGTCTTGGGTTTAATTCATGTTTCAAGGGAGAAAATGCTTTTAATGTTTTTAAGCACAGAACCCACGAGATTTCCAGCATTCATCAGGAATGTAAATTACACAGTAAGTCAATGTTATAATAGTCTTTTTTTGAAGGTAGACAGTTGTTAGGTGTATATGTGATCATTAGTACCTAACTTTCATGTAATAGTCTGTTGAAAAGCAGGGAATGTTTTTTCAGAGAAGCAGTTCTTTAATGCAGCAGTTGATCCAATAGCTACATGTAGGATCTTATAATTTGGAAAACTTTATATGACTCAGTGAGGAACTGAGCATTCATATGCAGAAATAAAAATGTATGCTTAAAAGCCAGCTTTTGGGTTTTCATACTATAGCCGTATCAATTTGTATAGCAAAGAGGATGATAGATGAAATTAATTAACTTAATGATATTAAATGTTGGGTTTTTTTCACCAAAGAGTAGAGAATAAGTAGCTAAAAGGCCTTCATTGCTAAAGGAATGTAAAATTCTTCTGCTTGGTGTGAATGGAAGTCCAGATCTGTCACAACAAAGTCTCTGCTTCAAACATTGGATAACTGATTATGTACTTACACATGGGGAACCGAGTTTAAAAATAAATCTTTGAATTGAGCTGGCGTTTGACAGGTCACCAATCAAAGACGTGAGAATATATGAAAAGGCATGACAGGTGACTAACTGCTTCTAGCTTACATCTCGTGCATGGATGATAAAGAAAGTGAATGAGGTGTCTATCATTCCTAAGCAGAGAATAGTCTGCTTCAGAGTCCCTGACCAGGCAGTTGTCAGAAGCTGGAAACATATCAGAAAAAGAATCACTAATTTCCTTTTTAGTAGAGGAAAACAGAGTTAAGATTGACCCAATCTCACTCCCAAACCCAAGACCAAAAACATCTGCTCCCTTATTCTTCTTATTACAGTCAAGGCAATGCATGACATGCTCCATATGTGCTCCTTTGCACTGAATCACTTCATTCTTAAGTTATATCAAAAGGTCCCATTAAATCCTCAGAAGCAGTTTGCGGGAGTCCCTGCTCATTTGTTGTCTATTAATTGTGCTAAAAACATAATTCAATTGCATTGTGTAGTTGATGCTGTTGTTTTCTTTTTGAGCATTTTGGTATGCACAAAGGAAGCATGCTGAGAAGCAGTTGTTTCCTTTGAAAATGAGTACACTAATATGAGTCTGGAAGATGTGACAGGTAAACGTGTAACTAAAAACTCATAAAAGTTAACCAGCGGTGCCATAAAATCATGCGGTTTCAAAGAGGTGCTAAACTGTTCCTATTTATATTTCATTCTTTTTATTATTTTGCTTTTCTGAAAATTCTACAATATGACCCAAAGCATATCTAGTCTCATTTTTCTATGTTGAATTTGATCTCATCATGAACCAGAGCATTCAGAATTAGAGTGTGCACCTGTTTACACTGAAATAAAACTGTCTCCCTGTGCCTGGCTGCAGAGGTGTTCTTCTCAGTACACAACTGCCATTCCCTACCCTCTTTCTGATAGCGTAGTCATGGCACAGGTTTTCTTCTGTAACCACAAACTTGCAAATCACAGTGGTATGATCGATTGGTATTAACAAACTTTTTTCATTAGTTGGGGTATTTCTACCCTAAATTTTCTCCTCATAGCCTCAATGGCCTTTGGATTCATAATTTTCAAGCTGTTGAACTTGCCATCAGCCAAGGCGATGACTCGGATTCCCACCCCTTTGAGAACAAGGTAGCAAAGCAATAGGTAGATGTAACAGGAATAGAGCTAAATGCATGACTGAGAGAAATATTTTCATCACTTTTTGGCTTCCTTTCCTCTCTCTATGTACTCCTTACTTTGCCACACACTTCCCTCTCAGCTCATTAGCAAGGGTCACTCTCCATAATATCATAACACTTGTTCTTAAACCCTGTCAATAGTTAAAAAAGTGAAACCTTTAACTGGATATACAACCTCTGGCTCAATGTATTATTTTCTTTTTTTTAACAAAAATTTGTTAACAACATCCTGAGATACATGCAGGCAAAGAAAACTTCATTCTATAATTGCACTTAATTTTAATTAGAAAATATAAATTCTAAGAAGCATTTAAACAGATTTCAAAAGTAACAGGTTCTTTTCTATTTTTATAAATACAACATTTATCTTGGGGAAAAAATGGGTGTTTGCCTGGTTTTTATCTGTCCAATGAAGAGTTTTGGGTGAATGTAAGAATAGAAGGATGTATTTTATTATTCAGTACTCTTTATGGATATTGTGTCATAGCTTTATACAGTGCTCCCGAGATTTTAAAATCACTGTCCAATCCCTGATTTATTTTATGCTGCATTTTGGTACCTGTTCATTCAAGGATGTCAAAATGTTTTACAAACACAAATTGGCAATAAATCTGCAAGCTTACAGGCCAGTTTTTATATCCTCTGTGCAAAATGAAATTCAGATGCAGAAAACTCAGCCTACTTTCTCAAATTATTAAGCAACATTTTGACTGAAGGAAAATTAAGGACAAAATTTTATATAGACAAATTACTTTGGATAGCATCCTAAAATGTGAATGAGAACAGAGTTTGGGGTGAATAAAATTCATTTTCTGGACACGAGGTCAATTGGAAAGTATACAGTAGGAGAAGAACAGGTAGCTGTCACAGTGAGAAAGATAAGATAGCAAATTTCAACCGAAGCTGCAATTTTGACCATAAAAATCTCTTCCTCTCTAGCCAGTTTTACTACATGTATCTGTGGCTAACCTGTAGTGGCAGCAGTGGATTTTCTTCCATACAGGTTTTATAAGGAAGTTATTAAAATGATTTTTAAGATCAGGATGGTCCATTACACTGCATTACAGAATATTCCTGCCCTCAGTTGCTCGCTCCACTCCAGTGTTATGGTAAAACTCCCTTCCTGCTGTGGCAGCAGTGCTGCTCATGGGGCACTGCTGTGAGCAGGATCAGGGAACTGATCCAGCTGAAAGAAAAATGGCCAAAAAAGCCTTTTTGTAGTCTGGTCCACACCACCACCCTCTGCTGAACTGACTGTAGTGAGTAGGTAACACAGAAGCAAACCCAAGAGGTTCAGAGTAAGAGAGGAGAAGGAATTACACAAACCAGCGCTTACCATTGGGAAAATGCTGCTAGTCAGGATTTGTGGAAGAACTGTGATTACAAAAGTTTAATGGCCAATTTCTCCACCCAAATTTTAATTGTTGTGCTGTCTTCTATTAATCAATTTGAGCTTGAATAAAATTTCATGGAAACTTACAGGATGAGCAGATCACTTGGTGAAAAATCACACCTCTCAAAATAGGTTGCAGTGCATATAAGGATGTCTTGCATTATCAAAATTTTATTTTTAATGCCTTTGCCACTTCTACAGCTGAATTTCCACTAAGTGCTGAAACTAAAACAATCTGAAATTGTCAGCATCCAAAATACCACTTTCTGAACAACATCTGAAGCATCAACTGCATCAGACTCCTTGGATTGCAGCACCAGGTAAGAAATGAAAAATCACTAGTTTGTGATTAAATGTGACCAGGCAGGCAGACTGGGCATCCTGGCATTTCTCCAAAATACGCTGTGGTGACCCAGATCAGATGCAACTGATGAAATGAAGAAGATTCAAACAGACAGTGAGTGAGTTCCTACAGAGATATGCAAATTGTGAGACTGCAGTATGACACAGCTGGTCCTACAGCCTGCTCTGAAATTTTACAAGAAAACCCTGGTAAGGAATGATGGCCTACATCTGAATTTCTGGGCCAAAATAATCATTTTCTCCTGGAGGAATAAGATGCCAGTGAAAAGACAACGAACTTAAACGTAAATAATTCTTGTTGACTCTTGTGATGAATAAGCGGTACAGCAGGAAATGCTGTTTCAAGTAAGGCCTCCAAATCCTGCCATATCAGCTGTCAACAAAGGAAGATGAGAATTTTGTAAAGTAACATTTGGCTAAACTTTGCGCTGCTAAACACCTTTTTACCCAAACCCTCCTACACCCCTGGAAAAGGTTGTCAAGGTTTGTAGGCCAATGAGACACCAATGTTGTCTTCAGGAGCACTGAAGGCTGTGAGAGGCTCACTTCATCTCGAGGCCAAGAAAAGGCACTTGTAGGGGGCTAGTAACAGTTTGTGCTTCTTGTTCTGCTGTAGTGGAGGTCACTGCTGGTCTCTTGCATCTGGAAGCCCTCTGTTACCTGCTCTGACCTTGCTCCCTGCTAATGCAGATAGGTGAAACTCTGACTCAGATCTGGTTTTGACTTGTCTGTAAGATAGTCTAAGGTATGATAATAGACCTAAGAGAAACTTAGTAATATACTAATCTCACATATCTGTAAATCAGAGGAATGAGACAATCTGAAGTGGACCCCCTTTGTATAATGTTAAAGAAGTTGTTCCAATATTATTGCTGATTAGCACAAATTGTGCGCTATCCATAAAGGCAGTGATTGTAAAAAATATGATTTTGACAATGGTGGAGAGCTAAAAATTCATATTTCTATCTGGACAGAGTAGACAAAAACTGACGTAGAAAATGTTTTCTATGGACTCCTAGATTTGAGTACCATCTTTATTTCTGCTCTGCTAATGAGAGAGGCAGAGTTGTGTAGAACACTACATCATGTTTGCTGTGATTTTATGCCACAGGTCTGCAGGGTGCTCTTGAGGAAATAATTTCACTTTCCAGCATCTTAGTTTCTCTCTTGAAGAACACCTTTTATATTCCTTTAACTCCGAAAGAGGGAGGCAAAGATAATTGTAACTCCTTTATAAGATGCTTTGGCATTTAGTAGGTTCACAGCTCTAGAAAACAGCTAGTAAGTGTATGAGCTGGGGTACACCTTATAACTCAAATTATTTTTTTTTTTTAATTTCAGACATTTTAAGAAATGTTGTTGAAAAAGACCAGGCATGCTGTTAAATGCCCCCAGCCCCCAGGTCCCCAGCAGGAGCTGGGGGAAGTAATTACATTATGGAAGTAATTGACAGTAAGAATTTGTAATACTGGAGAAATGTCACTGGGGTATTGGCATAGTAGGAGGCATCAGGTAGTTCCTGGGCTTTGACTGTTATTTTCAGCAAAAGCTTTATAAAACCCTTGCTGCAAGTGCAGTATGGATGGCATGTCCAAAACAAAATGTGCAAACTACCACCTTTGCCATCACCGATTTTTTCCAGCATATACGAAAAAAAAATTGAAGACAAAAGCCTCCCCTTGGCTCTAGATGGATGAGAACAAAAAACAAGGAGAGAAGCATCATCCAGAGGTATGCTGATACTCACCAAAAACAAGGGAGCTAAGATAAAGGCATTGGAAAGCTGGAGGAGACAGGAAAATTGATTATAGACCTGGAAATATTGACATATGTGAAAAATAAACTAAATATATGATGCCAGTCTATGGTTATTTGATGAAAGTGTGTAACGAAGACAGAGAACTGTGTGTAGTTAGTAATGGAGAGAAAGCACTAGGAGCCATGGGCTGAAATCAAGAAAAGAAAAATAAAATTGATTAACAGGAGAGACTCCTTCTTAAAGGTATCTATTAGCCTGAGGACCTGTCTAAACTGCAGCAGTGGAATTCCACTGACTGCAATATTTGAAGACAGAAAGCAATTCAGAGTCTGAAAGATTTGTTTCATGATTTCCTGCAGTAGACCTTTCCTGTTAAGTATTTAAGTTTGTAGGATTCATGGAATGATAGCAAGTGATGTAGTTTTAATTGATAAGAAGTAGGTGGGACTCAAGCATACATTCAATATAAGGAAAACTTTAGCTTGTAAATATTCAGGGCATGTCTTATATAAGTTTTTGTTTCTAGCGTCTACGATGCAGCAACAATAATATATAAAATTCATGATTTTTACTAAATATTTTTAATTTCAGGTTGTGTTTTTTCTTTTTAATGTGATGCATGATTTCATTTTTTTTATGCTCACTCAAAAAACTTTTAGAAAAACCAATCCTTGAGAGAAAATGTTCAGCACTTTCTGAAAATCAGAACCTTCAGAAATTGTGCATGCCTAGATTGAGACTTTTTACAAAAACAGACGCACTTCTCCAGTTCTGATTCCTGTGCAATGAATTTGACAAAACTCAGCACCCAGGCATGGCAAGGGTGAAACATTAATAAAACTGTGATAAAAATCCTAAGATATTTCTAATATTGTTTTCTGACAGACACATCATGCTTACGTTGCATGTCATTCTTATACATCTGTCATGGTTTAACCCCAGCTGGCAACTAAGCACCATGCAGCAGCTTGCTCACTCCCCGCCAGTAGGAAGGGGGAGAGAATCGCAAGAGTAAAAGTGAGAAAACTCGTGGGTTGAGATAAAGACAGTTTGATAGGGAAAGCAAAAGCTGTATGCACAAGCAAAGCAAAACAAGGAATTCATTCACTACTCCTCACTGGCAGGCAGGTGTTCAGCCATCTCCAGGAAAGCAGGGCTCCCTCATGCTTAGTGGTTACTTGGGAAAACAAACGCCATCACTCCAAATGTTTCCCACTTCCTTCTTCCCCCAGCTTTATGTGTTAAGCATGACATTATATGGTATGGAATATCCCTTTGGTCCGTTGGGGTCAGCTGTCCCAGCTGTGCCCCCTCCCAACCCCTTGTGCACCCCCAGCCTACTTGCTGGTGGGGTGCTGTGAGAAGCAGAAAAGGCCTTGACTCTGTGTAAGCACTGCTCAGCAATAACAAAAACATTCCTTTATTATCAACCCATAAACATCAAACATGGAATTGTATTTAAGCCAGTTCTTTGAGGGAGTCAATTTTATTTATATTTCAGACTTTAATGCATTACTGAGGAATAAAAATATATAGCTTAATTCAATACTAACTGTATTTCAGGAAAAAAAAAAATTATTTCTACTGGACCTTAGCATCCTTCATATGTAGTTAAAGCCTTAAGTGTGGACAAAGCATTGCTGGATAATACTGTGTGCAGTTACACTTACTGTACACTTGCAGTTGTCCTCTGAAGACATTTCTTCCACGAGAGTTTTCAGCCTTACATTCATACATCCCTGCGTCCTCTAGCTGCACATTAGGTATTTCAAGCACAGCTTGGGATTTTCTCAGGCGGGCTTTACTTGGATTATGACCATTAACTTTCCTCCAAGAGATTGTTGGAACAGGGCTGAAATATTTAGTAAAATTACTGTTAGCACTCTTCCACTATTGAGAATATAGATTCTGTTATCCGGTAATTTAAACACTTAATAATCTAAGTAGCATAAAATATAACCACAATTAAGGTTCATATAATGCTTGATATACCTCACTTTCTGTAGGGAATCCTTAATAAATCGTTTGTTACATGGAATGTGTCTCTTTCATCCACAAGGGAGGCCAAGTTTTTATTGAGATCAAGTAAATCACTTGAAATACTCTCTCTAGAGCTTCTTTAGCACTCTATGCTTTACTCCTGAACACTTTCACTCAATAAGTAAAAGAAAATAATGACTTCAAAACCTGGATGAATTTAGCAAATTCCAACACTTCCTGATTTTCCCACAATGAAACTGCAGTTCAGGAGATCAGTAAGTGATACGTCTATCTAGGTGGGGGATTTTAGTACCCTGTATCTTGGATAAATTAAGTTGACCAAAGTTTTGGAGACCTTTTCTGTTGCAATATCCTTTAAGTTACAAAACTTGTGTAAGAAGTATGTATTAATGGCACTACTGCTTCTGACTCATAGCATTACATGCCTGCTCACAGGAGTGGAAGGGTGTTTCACTGTAGCTTGCTATTCCACACAGGTCTATGGGAAAACTGCGTCATTTACATTCATAGTGAGGGAAGAAATGGATTAGATAGTGTTTGCACTCATTCAATTTTCTTTTTAGCCCAAACACTCATCCGTTGTTGTGCACCCATTGGGCTTTTTGGTACAGACATACATTTGCCTAAATATGGCAGTGGATACTTAGGGGGGAAGAAAAGAAAAAAGAAAAAAAAAAAGAACTATAGTTATAAAATGTTTGATTGTGAGCTGAAAACTAGACTGCTTCAGGTATTCCAAAGGAAGCTTGGAGGACATTGTAAAAGAAAATGTAACTGTGACATGCTGGTACTTCTTTAAAAAAAAAATTGTATTTATTTGAATTGCTTTCAAGTCTAAGCTTAGATATAAACACAATTGGATCTTGTGGCAGTTTAGATGGGGAATGGTTCAAATTCAAAGCTTCTATTAATTTCTGCCATCATTTGCTAACTTCCACTTGCTGTAACTATATGCAGTTGCATTAAAAAAACACCTTTCCCTCAGTATTTCAGGGTGTCCAGTTTGAGACACAACAAATACAGACATGGCAACCAACCACGGGTAAAGCTCTAGCTATTCTTCAGCCAGTTAAAATCAGGCTGAGAGTTACTGCAGTTGTACTCAAAGTTCCAGACAAGATGCTCCAAATTCTAATACTTTACAGAGATTCAGAAAATTCCCAGACTTGTAGTTGGAGGTCCGAAGGTTTCTCTAATCTTATCTCCTGAATGTCACAAGTCACTGAATTTCATTGAGCCTACTAACATAATTACCTTCACAAAGTTTGTTTCTTGGCAAATATAGAGTCCCATATGAAAGGTATCCAATAGTATTTGAATATATCAGAAAGAGACAATCATTGTTTCCCTTATCAGTTTGCTGCACTGATTACTTAACCTGACAAAAGATACTTTATTTTGAGTGTGTGTGGATTCATCTCTGAGGCATAGTCCCTACAACACCTTTCTATTTTTTACCACTGTTCCCCATGGAAGAAATACATGTATGGAGATCAAAACACCTTTTTTATTTAACCTTAGTAAACAAAACAGACTGTTCTCTTTTTCTTCAGCACTCCAATTGTGTATATTTTTTTATAGATGGTTGTAGATCATAAGATGGGTGTGGATCATATAAGCTCTTTTTTTTCCCCTACTGTATCACCATAGAAGCTCCATACCTTACTCATTATTAATCTTAAATTACTTTCTTGCTGACTGATTTCAAATTTTGGTGTCCTGTAGGTTTGGTTTGAAGACTCTTCTGTGCAGCTTCTATGGGTCTAAATTATAAAGTTTGCTTCCTATTAAAAGTTATTTTCCATATTTTTCAATTAGAAGGTTAAAAGAACTTCCCATTCTTATATGACACAAGTACTTCAACCTGTTCAATTCTAAATATGAAGAATAAGCAGGATATTTGTCTCTGATGCACTAATAAAACTTAGTCTTTAGCCCTTCCACTTATGACATTCCTGTCACATCCTTAGCTACGTATTTTGATTTGCTATACTTTGATAGCTATTTTTCTATATTAGAACTAGTATAAATAACAATATTATTTTCTTTTTTTCCCATTTATTAGCTCTCATATTTTATTTCTAATTGCACACTTCACTTTGATATTCAAATTTATACTCTTTCTTGAGTGACTTTCTGGAGATTTTCTAACTCTCTTGTTTTGGGTTCGGTTTTAAGTGTAAACTCCTTATACGCTTGTCCTCTTTCTATATGGAATATAACTATGTCCTGATTGCTGGCTGCAAAAAAGCCACCATCACCAGGCAAGTGTTTAATTAATCCTTATTGATTAATTAACAACACAAGTCCACAGTAGGAATACTTGATGCTGGTACAGTGCAATACTATTCAGTAACTGCTGTTTTATAAATGAGATGATAGGTGTGCAGGTACACTTCATTGGGCACCATAAGGGTGCCATGCTTGTTGCCCATTATTGCTTATTTGCCCTTCAGCCCTACTTCTACTAAAATCAGTGACAAAGATACTTTTGCATGGAAGAAAGCTGGTTCTGCTGAATAGGATTTGTAAGTGGAATTTTTTCATAGTGTATCTTTCTGAGAAACAATGAAGACATTATAAACCGTGAAAGTTGTCTCATTTAGCTGCTATGAGTTTACTCTGAAATTCATGTATTTAGAAAATTTCCTTTAAATTGCATTTAACTAATTTTTTTGACATTTGCTTTCATGTATGTCACAGAAAGTAAATGTGTATAACATGGCAAATACAGATGAAACTTCTTGTTCTCTGGGTCATTAGGAAACATATTTTAAAAAGCTCACTGTTTTCTTCATTAGTATGAGGTAGTAAGTGGAGTTTTTCAAGGAGATAAAATTACTTTAGCTGTGTAGATTTAATGCTTTCAAAGAAAAGTACTCCCAAACTGCAAATCACTGTTCGCAGACAACTTGTAGTTCTGTTTAATGAAGCTTCTTATTTTTCTTGTATAACGTACAAGTGAAGTATGAATTTTACATCTGAAATAAAAATATATCTATACCTATTTCTTGCTGTGACTTGTGTGAGAATGAAATGAAAGAATGAAATATATCTGAGTGAGGATGTGAAAGAATAAAATTGTGTGACTGTTCTAGAAAACTCATAAAATCCACCAGAAAAGCTAACTAACATATGCACTTATTGTTCACCTTTTCGAATTATCCACAGCTTTTTAAAAAATAGAGCAACAGCAGAAGTATCTCTAAAGTTAATATGAGTTTAATGTAATATACATAATTGTTAAATCTTATAATCATTATAATCCTTTTTATTTTGGTTTCAGCAGACATCTATGGGAATATAGTTTCTTTGTTTATTATAACCCTGTTCACATTCAACTCCTATGAGTACCTTTATTCAAGTTTCAACTGAGTTCAAAGATAAGATTTCTCCTCACTTTTGGAAATAATCTATTGAATACTACTGGTAAATCTTAGCACCAGAACTGAGAAAAAAATCCTACTTGAATTCAGAAATACCATCATTAAACTTCTCATTGGTCTGAGCTGAAATAAAAGTTCTAAGAGGTCAATGGTGACAGTGATAAACATTACTGTGTGTTTGTTCATTTTGAATTTGAAGAAAACATGAGTTATGGTTTTACATTTACATCTAGAAGAGATTATAAGAGCCAATTTTCAACACTATATTATTTGGGACAAGTGCTATTGAATTTGTTGGGAATTCTTCACAAGTTTCATTGGAAAGAAAATGTTTTGAAAAAACTATTGGAAGCAATTTTATACTTTTTTTTTCAATTTCATATGAAAAAGAATTTAATTAGATCTATAAAGTATAGATATGGATTCAGTGTTGGCCACATTGCAAAATTCCATATTATATTTTTGTCATCATAGTATAGTAGGTGCTATATTGTGGGATGGAGGAGGTGTTGAGCTACTACAACTGTTAAATAAGGACAGAAGTAAGCTCTGTTTTTGCCTCAGCCATCCAATGACCCTTTTTTTTCTAGTCTCTGTATCACACCCTACCTCAGCTTTCTGGCTGGGGGCACGCTGAAATAAGTGGACATTCTTCTAAAAAGTATTAAAGACATAACAACAGGTAAATTGTCACCGCCCTGTGAGTTGATCAAGGCTGTTGAGAAGAGAATCTGAAGTAACTTGGAAAGCAAAAGACATATATGACATCTGCTGTGTTAGTATGGTGGATAATACGTGAAGAATCCACAAATTTAAGTTAGAGGAGACAAATGCTTTGAAGCAGAAAATTTGCCTGGAAAGGTGACATGTTTTTGGCAGGTGTTCGTATGGATTGTCAGGGACGCAGTGCTACAGTAGCATTGCATTTACTTGCCCTGTGTAAAACTATTTTATAACTGGACTTTCTCTCATGTCATTTTTCTCTGTTCCAAACTTTGCCCAGGCAGAATTTCTGTAGCTGGCACATTAATCTAGGATTTCCTAACTCTGCTGTACAGATATGGCCAGTGTATGTGTACAGATCAATTCCAGAGGACTAGTTACAATGAGTCCAGGACTTCCAGAAACAGCAGGTCTACCACCAATCATGATGCAAATGAGCACCATGTGTAAATCTAGTGTGTCTGGGGTGCACAAGATGGCTTTGAACCTGCTGATCAGCTACAGAGTTTGAAGCCAGTGAGTGTGACAATTTCTGGAAATGCTGGATTTAAGGCTCTTGTACCACACAGTATTATATGCATTTATTCCTTTGTGGGAAATCCTGAAGAGAAATATAACAATGGTAACTCTGGGGACCTGCTATTGACAATTGCCAGAATTTGTTTCCTTCTGATCCTCTCAACTTCTGATACAGAGAGAAAGCCTACATATGTGCTTCTGGATAGTAAGTTTGGAATGCAAA